TCAAGTGGCAGCTTTATATACTAATTCAAGTTTTATTTGCGCTCGCCAACAAATGCGTTTATCATCGTTTACAAGCAAGTGATACGTAGTCTTGCATATAACGTTTGGTAACTCAAAGTCCAAGATCAAGTAAGGAACGTGTTTCCTATGATGTGATATGTCGCCTCAGGCTACCTCTACGTCATTTCACTTTCAACATCATGTCAAATCGAGTGGTATTCACTGTGCACATATGCTTATACTATGGGCGTACAATGAGGTCAGCATTACTTGCATGAAGCCTGTGAACCGAATGACGTTCAACAACGTGGTGGTGTGTGCGCAACGAGATATACGGTAAAACACAACTCTGAACATATCTTTTCTTTGCTTACTAAATTTTTATTATCAGCGCGAACCATGAACAACAACAACAACAACAACAACAACGCTGCCAGCATTGACTTCACCGCAAGACTCTTGCAAGAAATGATGGCAATGAGATCCGAAATCAGCCAACAAGGCGTACAACTGAACGTCTTGAATGATGGATTTCGACAGCAATTCATGTCGCCATTGGAAGACGCAGGCAGCGATTTGGCAACAAGAAGCATCCTGGATCCCACTTACAGAAGCCAGGTACTATCAAACAGCAACAGAAGAGGTCCTCGGGTAATTGAAGCAAACCCTACCGGCAGGGCCAGAGCTTCTCCTGTGGAGAGATACAACGCAATGCTCCAGCATCTACACAAACTATGCAATGGGGCATCTGTACCCGATTTGACACCAGGGCAGCTCAAATCGCGCAGGGAGAAGCTCCACCGCACAGCAAAGAGGGTCTTGGAGGCTATACTGGTGATGCATCCGAATATCTCGCATTGGAATGCCCTGGACCATGTGCAGGATGAACAGGTATATTACAGCCTGGCACTGGAGGAGCAGGCCCTGCAACGGGACAATCTCATGATTTGTCTCTGCAAGAAGCAGTGGTGTGCCAGGTTGTTGCTCTCCCAGGCCTTCAAAGCAAATAGAGCAAGCAGAAACCGAGCTGCTGCTGCTGATGCTGCTGCTGATGCTGCTGCCAATGTTGCCAATGCTGCCAATGCTGCTGCCAATGTGTCTTTGCAAGAAAACGAGGCAAGAAGCCATCTTCTGGTAAGTAGCTCCTATTATTTGTTTTGGCCATGGCTAACATCTAAGTATTGGAAACATTTCAAATGCTTTTAGGAGACTGAATCAGCAATTGTTGGAGACAGTGATATTGCCCAGCTTGCTCAAACTGCCGGTGTTGGTAATGCTGAGGATGATGACAACCTTAGTACTACTAGCAATATGTAATGGTGTGTGCGTTTGTGAGATCTTGTATATTTCATCCAAAATAAAATTACTTTGCTTTTGTACATTTGATGCTGCCTTGCTCTATTGGGATTTGAGATGATGGATTAGCTGCGATGCCACATTTAAAATCACATTTGATAGGTCACTTCAGCTTAAAAAGTTACTTGATTTGGTTACATCAGTCTGATACTGTGCATGATTAGAGCGTGTTTCTATATTTTTAGATCGAAACTTTGTATATTTAGGTCATCCCTTGAGAAAAAAGTGCTTTTGTTTCTCTTTTTTCTTCATTTTTCATCTATTTTCACTTTAATTCTATCAGCATAAGAGACATGTGCTCTGTAGCAGCAAGAAGAAGAGGCAGCATTTACCGTCCATGGCTTTAAAGGTGGAGGCTAGGTTTCAATGCCATTGAAGAAGGAATACCATTTCAAATGTGCGCCGTGGGAAGCTTCATATCCCTGCCATAGTATCCAGGATGGAATCTTCATTTACATCCTTTCGAAACAACAAATTTATGGTATGTCCAATGCTTCTTGCCATATAAAAGCTAACAAATATCTTGTAGAAATGTAAAGGCGACTTTGCCAGGTCAATTTCGATGTCGCAAGTATGCCATTTGGTTAACCGTTTCCCTCCATCCTGCTGGTTCCATTTATCTGCTTTCTTGCTATCACTGTTCAAGTAGTAAGTCATCTTTTGCTGCATCATCAGGAAAAATCAGTCGTTACTCACCTGATAAGTTAACTAGTGCCAGCGTCGAGTGGGTCTGGCGGGTTTGGCTTGATAACTGAGCACATCTCTTGCATACTTTATGGATCCCCTTTTGCATCCAGTGAACAATGGCAGATGCTTCATAGTTGAATGATGCGGTCTATACATCTGATACTTCTGACGGCATAAGACGCATTAACATTCGTTCGATGTTTTCTTTTCAAGAATGTCTGCTCCCAATGAGTCGCTGCCTGGTGGTGTGCTGTACTTTCTATCTGTCTTGTGAAAGAGGTATTGTAGTCATCACGCCTTTGCTGGAACGCTTTACTAACTTGATTCAGTTCACATCTTTGCTGATAGGTACATGCACATCTTTGATATTATGCTGGCTTTTGTACAATTCGTTGCTCTACATGGAACACTGTTGATGGCTTCAACCTTTTCATTCTATGCTCTCTCTGGATCTCGCCTGGAAACATCACTTTTATATTGCCCTAAAAACTGATAATATTGGGAAACACGAAACAGTTCATACTGATCCAGGCTATTATTCTCAATTATCTTTGACTCTACTATAGCCTACAGCATGACCATTACCACTACAAGGCTTTACTATTGCACGTTTTTGGCACGTAGCCTTCGTTTACCCATTAAAATTAACCAATAATAAATGTATAAATATTTAAACCACAATTTCTGAGCCAATGAAAGCTGCCAATATTTAAACCACGAATTATGGGCCAATAAAAGCTACCAATATTTAAGCTGATTCAGACCTTCAATGATCCCATTTCAGCTCATCGATAGGTTCATGCGCGATCATGAATGTTCTCATTTGAGAACATGGATTTGCTCATTTAAGAACATCGATATTTTGATTTGAGAACATCGATGCGCTCATAAACAGCTACATTTGCTCTTATTTAAGAACATGGATGTGCTCATATGGGAACATCTCGGATGTTCTTATGAGAACATCGGCCGACTTATAATAGATCTTTAGGAACGCCGATGTTCCCATATGAGAGCATTTTCCACTTTTTGGGAACATCGATGCTCTCGAATGAGAACATAAAATAGATTCTTATATGAGCACCTCGATGTTCTCATGAGAACATCAGTTGGGCCGTAGTGCGAATGCATTATCACGAGAAAGGAAGCAATAATATAAGCGTCCAAAGAAGTTTTATATCATTGCGACCAGGAGAAAGAAGATACTTACCACTTACCACAGCCACAGAGAGATCAGAAGAGTATAGGCAATCACCGGAGACAGACAAGAGAACAAGCAAGTACCAAATACAGTAGACCAGAAAAGACCAGATTAGCAGCAGCAGCAGCAGCAACACCAGCACCATAGAAAAACTAAAGAATGAACGCCATCAGCAGAGACCAGACAGACCAAAGAAGCTACTTACCACTTATCACCACCATAGATAGACCAGAAATTACGCAATCACCGGATATGAGCCAGAGAACGAGCATGCGCCAAAGACAGTAGACCAAGAAAGACCAGATTAGCGGCAGCAACACCAGCTCCTTAGAAAAACCGAAGAATGAACGACGCCAGAGATCAGAAAAAGACCAAAGAAGCAACCATCAGACATGATAAACTAAAGAAGCAGACAGCAGAGATAGCAGAGAAGTACTGGCAGCAGCACCCACATCAAGCAGACAAAAAAAATCATCAAAACCTAATAAACAAATTCAATTAGTGCTGATTCTACGCCTTCCAGTGCTCGTTATCGAATGGTATCTAATATATTCCACTTTAAAAGAGCAGTATCAAGCTCTTCTAACAGTACAAGACTGAGTTATCAGAAGCTAGAGTGTTATTATCAATCAAACGGTGTCCAAAACCACCATGGTTTAATACTAAAACACGTTTTGCAAAAAGGGTGAAAAACGGGGACATGGAAAAACGAGAGGGTACCCTATCCGACGTCACGACCTGTAGATTTAGTCTCAGTCTTATACCGTAGCAACGGTAATTGCGGCAATTTAAATTGAAATTGTGCAGTGGTATTTTCGTGTTCAAACTTGACTTGATCTCACATCCTTTAATCGTTTTTTCTAAATTTGACTACGAAAACTGTCGTTATAACACCAAACTTTCTAATACGTTCCTAGAGAACTAAAAAAGCCGCATCAAATGATGCTAATTACTTTTAGCTTTTACACCGAAAATAATGAGCAATTTGCAAAAATATGAAAACAGGTTTTCTGTGAATATATCGAAATTTAGCATATAAAAGTCTCATAAAAAGAGTTTCCAATGTTGCATTTCTTCTTTACGATCAATTTGATCTAATATGTATCATAGAAAAAGTCTTCGTTTTTGGGGTGAAAAACACGATTGTTTGATTTTCAAGAATTTTCCCTTGCTAATACTCATGGAAAAACGATGATTTTCATAAATTTGCAATGACCCAAAAAAAATTGAGATAAAGCATCAGGAAATAAAGCGTGGCCAAGAGGAGGCATGCGATGCTATTCCAAGCGCTCAAAACGCTTTGTGGCATGAGTTATTCGTGCTTGAAAATTGCTAGCACTACGGCCCAACTGATGTTCTCATGAGAACATCGATGTGCTCATATGAGAATCTACTTGATGTTCTCAAATGAGCACATCGATGTTCCCGAAAGGTGAAAAATGCTCTCATATGGGAACATCGGCGTTCCTAAAGATCTATTATAAGTCGGCCGATGTTCTTATGAGAACATCCGAAATGTTCCCATGTGAGCACATCCATATTCTTATATGTGTCAGGTACACATAGTCTTTGTGTGTAACCTTTTAATTTAGTATAAATATCAAATCAGTTTGCAAAACAATAAAGATCATCTTTTATCTCAATTCTATTCTTTTATATACATTTGCCAAGGTCTACTCAATAACCGTATCTCTATTAATGACATTTGGTAGCAGCAGAACCATTTGATCATTTATTTGAAACTATTTATTTGTGAATGAATAGCTTGACTGAGGAAGAAATCAAAAAACTCAAGAACCAATTTGAAATAGAAGAAAGAGTCGTTCAAATACTAAAATTTGAAAGTGATATCGAAGCTTATAACAGCAAGTTCAGAAAAACAAGACCGGGTCAATTTACTCAAGAAGAAAGAATCAAATCATCAAAAGCTAGACAAGAACATTGGAATCAACTAGCTACAAGTATCGCAAAAAAGTGGTTTGGATTAGACAACATTAACTTAGACAATAACAATAACGACAATAATTTGACTGAACAAGATGGGAGTCCATTAGGTACTACTGGTGATAGTAGTGACATTATAAAGCTTGCTGAAATCTTGAAGGAGGTAATCCTTGCCAAGACATCCAAGGAAGACGATTTCGAGTTTTTGGAACGGCCCAAAAGTTACAATGGTTCAAGGGATCCCTTCATTATTGAATCTTGGATCCAGACGCTCGAAGACTTTGCGGATATCAAGAAGTTTGATAATGATAAAATTGCCAAATTAGGTATCACTCTTTTGACAGGTGCTGCCAAAGTTTGGTATCAAAATCTGCGTTTGCTAAATTCTGCGCCTACTAATTGGTTACACTTCAAGACCGAATTAAGAGCATTTTTTAAACCGGATAATGCTATCTCGGTTGCTCGGGATCGCATGCGCGCCTTACGACAGAAGTCTACCATTGCTCAATATGTTCAAGAATTCATGACTATCAAACTCAGTATTCCAAGAATGACAGACGAAGAAGCAGTTGACAAGTTTTTATCTGGCCTTCGAGATCCCAACGCTCGAATTCACATCAAGGACAGCATTTACATGGAAGAGCCTGTTTTAACTGAGGCCATCCGTGCTGCTCATAACTATGAAGGAAATCGTTTAGATTCCAGTTCCTCTATTTCTCGGGGTTTTTCGGTGGATACTATGGATCTTCAGGTGGATGATCCAATGGATTTGTCGGTGATGGAGCGCCGTGAATTATACAACATCATGAAATCTTGGAACAACTCTAGTGGTCGTGGTGGTTTTGCAATGGGCGCTCGTGGTGGTTTTGGAGGCGGCAATCGTAGGGATTTTAATGGCCTTCGTGGTGGTCGTGGCAATACTCGTGGAAGTTACAATGGCTCTCGGGGTAGTCGTGGCGGCCAACAGCATCGTGGTGGGCGTGGTGGCCGTGCTCGTAATGGTGATCGTGCTAATGTACAATGTCACAACTGTGAAGGTTTCGGTCATTACATGAGGGATTGTCCTTCTGAACCTCGACAGCAATTGAATTATGCCGAGGCTGGCAACATTGATCATGGCTTTGATGGTGCTTCTGAAGACAATAAAGACTTTGATTATTCTGCTTATTTGTATTGTGTCTTACCTACCTCTAAGTCGTATGTTGAACCTCTGGTAATTGACGATACTCTAATCAAGAAGGATCTGGAATTTGTGATGTCTGCTGGTAAAATTGATACAAAATTGCCCCTGTACAATGGTTGGGTGAATGGCCATTTGTGCTCTGTATTGATTGATTCTGGTGCTTCTGCTAATTATATTAGTCCGAAACTGTCCTCCGTGGTTACACAATCAAGAGCTGTCAAAGGTCAAGCCGTGGAAACTGCTAATGGCCATCAATCTGCTATCTCATCTATTGCCACTTTCTCTTTACAATTGAGTGATTATACGGATGATATGGAAGCTTATGTATTTGATACAAAATTTGATCTGATTTTGGGCAACTCATGGCTGCGTCAGGTTCAACCTATTCCTGATTGGTTCCATAGTTCATGGTCAATTAAGCTTCCCAATGGTGGTTCTACATTAATTATGCCAATTCAAACGCAGACGAAGCCCAAAAATCTACTACACAATCAAGAGGTGGTTCTGGAATCTGGTGATGCTGGCGCTGCTATGGATGCTACGTTTGGTGATGCTGATACTAATAAGATTGGTTCTACTCGTGGTACAGATATGGTTGATGCCGATGTTAATTTTGTGGGATCTAAGGGTAAATTTATGGGTTCTGGGGTTGATGCAGGAGTTGACGGTGATGTTACTGTTGGATCTGAGGGTATTGATGATGTTGATGATTGTAATTTTGTGATTACTGCAAGACAATTTGAGAGGTTGTTGAGAAAGAAACAAGTGGAGGAGTGTTTTCTGGTCTCCCCAAGGGAATTGCATGGTCTTTTGGATTTGAACAATGTGGATGTGGTGTTGACGGATCAAGACAAGGAGAATGAAGCCTGGTGTGCTGAGTTTGCTGAAGCCTATCCTGATGTTTTCAAGGGATCATTGGATACGTTGCCTCCGGTTCGTCGTACTGATGGTGAAATGATTGAGTTGGAGCCTGGTACCAAGCCTATTTCTCGGGCACCTTACAGGATGTCTCCATTGGAATTGAAGGAATTGCGACAACAATTGGATGATTTACTAAGTAAAGGATTCATTGAACCATGTGTGTCGGAATGGGGTAGTCCTGTACTCTTTGTCAAGAAACCCAATGGTTCATTGCGAATGGTCTGCGATTATCGCGCTCTTAATGCCAAGACGGTGGCTCAACGGGTGCCTTTGCCTCGTATTGATGAATGTTTGGAACAGTTACATGGTGTCACCTTCATGAGCTCCATCGATCTGACTAGTAGTTTCTGGCAGCAAAGACTAACTCCTTCTGATTCGCTCAAGAGTGCGATCAACACCAGGTATGGTCAATTTTCTTGGTCGGTCATGGCGATGGGATTAAAAAATTCGGGTGCAAGATGGATGTATTTGATGAATGATGTCCTGAAGGAATATCTTGATGATTTCGTGATTTGCTACATTGATGACTGTCTGATTTATACAAAGGGTGATGACATTGAACTACACAAGAAACATCTACATCTAGTATTCAAGAAGTTACAGGAAGCTGGTCTGGTAGTGTCCAAAGCCAAGTGCAAGTTTAATCGCAAGGAAATCACCTTTTTGGGTCATGATATTGTTGCTGGTCAAGGCATCAAGCCGTCTCAGAAGAAGGTAGATGCTATTGCTTCGTGGCCTGCGCCCAAGACTGTGCATGATGTGCGTAAATTTATGGGTCTCTGCCAATACTACTCTACGTACATGCCCAACTTTGCTGCTGTGGCTGCTTGTATTACTGATTTGACTAAAGGTGTTGGTCCTAAGAATCGCAAGATTGATTGGTCAGATGATTGTCAAAAGGCGTTTGATACCATCAAGTCTCTGATTACTTCTGCTCCTGTGCTGCTAATGCCTGATATGTCTCGTCCGTTCCGCATTGAGTGTGATGCTAGTGATTATGCTGTGGGTGCTGTCTTGTTGCAACAAGATCCAAAGTGTGATGATGCCTGGAAACCTGTTGCTTTTATATCGAAAAAGCTGTCTGATGCTGAAAGGAACTATCCAACTCAAGAGCGTGAATTGCTAGCTATCTTGTTCGCATGCAAGACTTGGCGTTGTTTTGTGGAAGGGTCTGGGTATGAAGTATTTACGGATCATCGTCCTCTGCAGTATTACAAGTCGTCAAGTAAAGTGTCTCCTCGTTTGGTCCGCTGGATGCAAGATCTTGAAATGTATCAGCCATCTTTGGTCTACAAGAAGGGTGTTGATAATGTCGTTCCGGATGCCTTGAGTCGTCGTGAAGGTCCTGATTGTGAGCCTGATCCGGTGTCAATGGAACCTGAATTCCTATATGAAATGTCTACCACTATTTTGAACAAAGTGTTACAACCTTCTGATACTTCGCTGCTCACTGATCCTTGTCAAGATTGGCCTATATTTTATAAGAAGAAGCGGGAAGATTGGCCCGAAAAATGGCGTGCTCAACTGGAAAAGGAGGAATCCAATTTTGAAATAATTGATAATGTCTTATATCGGCTGAACCTTGAGGCTACGGGTAGAGAGGCTTCCAAACTGAAATTTATCACTTTTGCTCGTCGTGCTGATCTGATTGAAGATTTTCATCGTGGTTTTGGCCATTCGGGTCAATTAACGGTATATCATTTGATGAAGCAACGTGTCTGGTGGCCCTCTATGCGCAAAGATATTAATTATTGGCTAAAGACTTGTCCTGAATGTCAACTGCACTCTCGTAACGAGAAAGGTACCCATCATGCTCCCATGAAGCCACTTGAAGTTCCTGCTCCTTTTGCTCGTTGGCACATTGATTTCATTGGTGAACTGCCCACTACTGGTAATGGTAATCGCTGGATTCTGATGGCTGTAGATTATGCTACAAATTGGCCTATCGCTCGTGCTCTAAAATCTGCTTCTGCGGATGAAATTGTCAAGTTCATTTATGAAGAGATTGTGATGAAATTTGGTTGTCCTGTTGAAGTTGTCAGTGATCGTGGTGCAAATTTTCTCAGCAAGATTCTCAAGCAATATATGCACAAGATTAGATCAAAGCACATGCTTACCTCTGCATTCCATCCGCGTACCAACTCAAAGTGTGAAAGATTGAATCAAACATTCAAACACATGTTAACTAAGTATGTCAAAGGACTGGTTCACTCTTGGGATGAATATGTGGATTCATCACTGTTCTCTTGTCGTATCCGCAAGCATGCTACTACTGGATATAGTCCTTTTTACCTGGTCTATGGTCAAGAGCCTGTGTTGCCTGGCGATTCTCGTCGTCCTTTTATGGATCCTTTAACTGAGGAAGACCCTGAATTGATTGCTGAAGATGTTCTTGCTCGCATTCGTGATCTCAAGGAAAAGCGATTTGAGGCCAAGGAACAGATGATACTACAGGCTCGCAAGGACAAGGAACGATGGGATGCTGCGCTCAAGAGCAACAAGGCCCAAATTTTTGAGGTGGGGGATTATGTCATGTTGAGGCATGAATCCAAGAAGGGTTTGGAGTTCAATTGGATGGGTCCATATGTAATTTTGAAAACAAATTTGGATTACAACATCTACCAAATTCAAGAAATCGAAGGAAAAGTCTACAACTCCTGGGTTCACACGGATCGTCTCCATTCTGTCCAGTATGATGGTGCCAAACCCCAAAAATCTTGGTATATTCCTCGTGTTGCTAGAGCAAAATAGAATTTTTTTTTCTTTGCCTACCCGTACTTTCTTTTGGGAGGAAGGTAGTGTCAGGTACACATAGTCTTTGTGTGTAACCTTTTAATTTAGTATAAATATCAAATCAGTTTGCAAAACAATAAAGATCATCTTTTATCTCAATTCTATTCTTTTATATACATTTGCCAAGGTCTACTCAATAACCGTATCTCTATTAATGACATATGAGCACATCGATTTTCAGAAATTTGAAAAAAAAAAGAATGCTCCTAACGGGGTCGAACCCACAACCTATCGGTTGTGGATCTGTCGTTCTTCCCACTAAACTACTCGAATATCTTATTGAAATATATTCTTTTACTTTAATAAGTAGTTATTAGGTAATTTTAAATTGCCATTTTCTCGTGCAATTTATAATACGTTTAGTAATTTTATGAATCTTACAGATAATAAAAGTCTCTCTGTTGCCTACAATATTATAGTTTAGCTATTAAAACCATTTTATTCTTGTGGAAAACTACACCTTCTCAAATGAGAACATCAATGTGCTCATGAGAACATCGATGTTCCCAAAAGAGCGCATCGATGTTCTGTGAGAACATCAGTTGGGCCGTAGTGATAGATTTGAACAGAATTCGACTTAAAACGACGGCGTAGTGAGTTGCGTTGCCAGAAGAGTAAGAAAATTACGCTTCTGTCTAATGAATCAGACGTTCTGCATTGTACTGAACTCATTTTCTAAGTAATAGGCGCTTTTATTCTAATTCCAAGGCTCAGATCTTACTTTTTGAAACGCGCGATTTCAGTAATTTACACTTGAGCGTCAATAATATTAGGCAAATTTGAAACTAATGACTTGCTCGGATTGAATTAGGCTCTCATCAGGTTAACAGGACATTTTTGATGGACGTCCACAACAAGGATACCATACCTAGCCGTAAAACTAGACTGAAAGTCTATTCAAAACGGTGGACACTCATAATTCAGGAGAAATGGTTGATGCCTGACACGCTGAGTCGTTGTCAGCAAAATGGGGGGAGAAGGAAGAGGAGCAAACAACGTAGTTTGCATCAAATTTAAGCGAATAGATACCCGTGATATGTACAATCCCTATGATACAAGGGACGATAATATCCACAGACTATATTAAAATCTAGTTCTAATGGTTTCACAGAGCTACACTGCCGAAAAGGCAAATTATCTAAAATCAATCACTCAAACGCTATTTTTTTTGCTACAGTAGTGATGCATATAAGTTTTCTGTTGTGCGCCAACATTAGTCAATATACGCCCTGGATTTATTTTATTTTATAGACGTAGCACCTTATGGTCGCTTCTGTACTCTTGCTATTAAAGAAAAAAGACTTACTTTTGCCATGGCAAACTCCATTTTTGAAAGGGTGCATCGCAGTAGATTTCATTTTGTAGAGCAAACACATGAAAGAAACATTTAACTAATAGAAAAGAAGCCTGTGTAATGAAATAGCCACCCAAACGCAACTTGATTGAAAACTGAAATTCATCAAATAGCACTCATTCAAATTCATGCTATTTGGATCTATTAATAAAAGCGCTCAAATGTACATCAACAACCATTTAAACTTACTAAAGTAAAGATACACGCTTGTATCGCACATCGTGTGAATGAATCACTCCTGATCACAGTGTATTCAACCACACCCATGATGGTCGTAATAAGAGATGTTATCTTTATCCAAATAAAATCAAATCAATAACAAGCATATTCAAATATGACAACTATGCCCTGCTGCCATAGTTGCACTAGTTGCAAATGTATAAATACTCTTCTTTTTTTCACTCAGTTCTAGGATCTTCAGTTCATTTTACACACAAATAAAATACAGTTGATTTCTATTGTATTTTACTATTGCTTTATTTTTTTTTTTGTGAAATATATTTAAACCTGATTTCACTGCAGCCTGGTTGAATTGACAGTTGTAGAGATACTAGTGTCGAAACGTCGAAACACGGGTTTTTTGTATTGGTTATTACTTTACACTTTACTCAATCATTTGACGACCACTGCAGCGACTAAAAGTCCGTTTATACCCTTATTAGCAACCCTTCAAAGTGGGCATATAATCGTCCTAATATGAAGTCTCTAGCGCCAACATAGGGCATGAAAAAGCTGCTCGCCTTTCTTGGTAAAGTGCGCAGCATAGCTTAAAACCTTTGCCAAACGATAGTGAAGCAAGGTATGGCCAAGCGGTTTTCATTGCAAAATGCTCCAACGTCCTGTGTATCGCTTCATTATTCGCAATTACCCCTAAGCTATTTTTTTTTTACACGAGCAGAGCTCAAGGTAAGCTTTGGTAAAGCTCTAGTAGACAAGCCGGTTTTTGGTTGCACATGATCTAATTACGAGTTTTCATGCTAATGCCAAAAAAATTTCGTGAGTGACAGACAAGCTATCATCGTGGCGTAAAACGCTCGTCTATCATCCCAAAGCTTGGCTTGACCCAGATATTAGCTATACACATATGTAGCATTTGTCAATCAATTCTTCAATTTATAAATATAATAATCGCATAAGCTAATTTCCAGTAAGGTATTCTTTATATGACAAGGGAATGAATAATAATGGATTGAAGTAATTAATACTGTATTTCCAAAAGCAACTAAAGATATCTAAATTGATCATTTATGTCTGCAGTAATTATCATTTAGCATAAATGAAGGTTGTTACCAAAATTCAGCATGGGAGGAACGCCATTCTAGCCGGGTATAAAAGCAATCCGTAAATCATACCTATAAAGAATAGTAGACATTCAGCTTTAACCCTGTTTACCTCATCTGTTTTTTCCGAATAGTATACCGTGGCCATTATCACGTACGTGTCAGTTATACATCTCATCTATTACGCAACTGCAGTAATGCGAGTGCTTGACCATCTTACAAGCTGCTCTCCAGCACTATTTCCAAATATCAGAAGAGCCAATTCCAGAGCTTGGCCACCATTCGAGCTCACAACAGTAAGACTTTAGATTCATCTTTTCCTTCACATGATTCCATTTAGTGAAATAGAAATGTTGAGTGGTGTTGAGTGATGTTGAATTTCATCGAGAAGATCAGGACTTTCACAACTGCTAAGGATTGGAAACAATCTCCAAAACTCTGTGGATTGCATCATATGTGCCATATCCAGTTTCAATAAACTATTCCTACTCTACTCCAAGTAGGATCTTTGAACCATTTTTGGAGCTAATAAAATAGAGCTGATTTGATGAGCAAGCTATATTATCGTAATCTTGTACATCTTATCCCTGACAGAATTTAATACGCGACGGTATCTATAGGAACAACTTACAATGAAAGCTCAATGTTAAACATGGCGATTTTGTCGCAGATGGTGTATTCTTAATGAATGGCTTGATCATTTAGACGGCAATCAAACTCGATGGCCTTTCCAAATTTCCTTGGATATTAATCACTCATAATAAATGAAAATCTAATGATGATCCTGCACACATCTAGTAAGCCAGATTCATGAATGTATTGATAATAGCAGAAAAAACATTGACCCGAGTATTCAAACTACGATGAACTACAATGGGAATAAACTACCAGTTTTTGAAATGTCTCCATTCCACCGGCGAAAAAGTGGCTCTCTAGTTGGTAATTTGTACTCCCTTTCTCTGCAATTATAAATTCTGTTATTGCATTAACCTGATTATAGTCTTTGTTTCTTTTATTTTTCATCTTCTGAATTATAACCTTAATGGAAGACTGCAGCTTTTGGGTACGTTTATATCTTTGCACAAGTACAGTAGATATTGCATGTTGGCAGGGATGAGTAATAATGAACATCTGTGTATGATGTAGGGACCTTGGCTAGAGGGTCATTTCCTGACGCCTTGTTATCGAGAAAGGTACGTAGTGATGGATCATGGATGATCCGGGGGAGCACTGTCTTAATTTTACATACCCACTTAGATATCTGAATACAGCTGTATTGGTCGTGCTAGTAATAATCTCTTTCACCACATTGTTTTTCAAGTTGATTTGTCACTACAAAAAGAGCACCCCATCACAATATAAACCTATCAATCAGCATACACATGCATTTTACGGAGCAACAGAGACATCCGCATCCAGCAACAACAGCAGTGGTGAAGACAGTGATGATGTGAGTTCTTCAGATACAGTCGTACCCTCTAAATTTGCATCAAGCCAACCATGGTCAGTCTACAATTGGATGCGACTTCTGATGTCAGGCACACAGCTTGGATTTTTGGTATACATGGCATTGTCAATGAATGAATCAAATATGGATACAGTGATTGAAGGAACGTATAATGATCTGATCCGCATGTATTATGCACGCATTGTATTTTGGGTACGTCTATCTAATCAGTGATATTTTTCTTGTGCAAGGCGTTGATTTCATTCTATATCATAGGCGTACGCTGTCGTTCTCGCTGTACTCAACATCAGTTTGTCATTCACCATCAGTGGCAAATCATTGTCTGATCACATTTGCACACACCTAAACTATCTCTACGTTGCAGACTTTCTCATTCAATTAATCAATCTCTCAGCCTATTATCAGATACACGATATCTTGGAAATCAGCCATCGTTATGAGCATGAAATGATGTATGGCATCATCACACTGTTGCTCTTGGTGATTGTTTCAAATGAAAGTCGATATGCCCCATCTGAACCTATCATTGCTGATACAGTGAGTTTCTCTAGTATAACAATGATCTACGCAGACTCATGTTTTACATATATATCAGGGCCGTGTAATGTCTGGTGAAGCTTGGTCTTCCTTCTACTCGCAATTCATGTTCTCCTGGGTATCTCCCATGTTGGAAAAGGGTAATCGCAACACACTCAACGACGATGATTTACTGGAGCTGATACCCGAAAAGAGAGCCAAGAATACACTGGCACTGTATCGACTCCAAAAGAGAGCTACCATGGCCTTGAAGCTGCTATCCACGTTCAAGACAGCATTGACCATTCAATTCTTTTACTGTATTGGCTGGTCTATTCTCATGTTTGGTCCACCTTATTTCCTCAACAAAATCATCAAATTCATTGAACTTGGCAACAATAGCAATGGTGGTGATGGTGGTGGTGAAAAGGGCGAAACAGTGTCATCTGCTTTTATTTATGTTTTATGTCTGTTTTTGACGTCTTGTGGCCAGTCTTTATGTTACCAGCAAGCGCTCTACATTGGTCGATCTCTGGGTATCCAGATTCAGTCTGTGGTGATTGGTGAAGTCTACAGCAAATCGCTCCGACGCAGAGATGAAGAAGGTAGCACTGGTAAATCAGACACAAACATCAATTTGGAAAAGCCCAAGGTCAATGTTAACAACTTGCTCTCTGTGGACGCGCAAAAATTGGGTGATCTGATAGCGTATATCTTCTACACTTACTGTTTCCCCATCCAAATCACGATTTGTATCTGGAGTTTGTACAAGCTTTTGGGCAGTGCCTCTTTGTGGGGTGTCTTGATCATCTGTCTTTCACAACCTGTTACGTTTGTCCTGAGCAGACATTTCCAAAAGCTGCAACACGCTGCCATGAAATGCACAGACAAGCGTATAGGTCTCATGAATGAGCTGCTTTCTGCTATTCGTATTGTCAAATTCTTTGCCTGGGAAAAGCAGTTTCGTGCGCGTGTGATGGAGGCCAGAGACGCAGAGCTCAAAGTCGTTCGTGCTCGTTTGATGAGCTTCATGTGGATTGGCAATGTTTGGTTTATCATCCCTGTGTTGATTATGGTCGCTGTCTTTTACGCTTACACTCGCGTCTTTATTCTGACAGCATCCACTGCATTCACTGCGTTGGCCTTGTTTAATAACTTTAAAACCACATTGGATGAACTTCCTGTCATTACCTCATTCATCTTGCAAGCCAATGTCTCTTTGAATCGTATTGAAACCTTTTTAGCAGAAGAAGAAGTCAAGTTGCCTGCTCCCAATACAACATCCAGCACACATATTGGCTTCATTAATAATGCTAGTTTCAGCTGGAACTCACCAAGCAAGGGGAATGAACCTGCTGTGCCTCAGATCAAGAACTTGAACCTGTCCTTCCCCTTGAATCAAATGTCGATTGTGTGTGGTCCTACTGGCTCTGGTAAAACGACACTCTTGCTCAGTCTGCTGGGTGAAACCTACTGTCTGTCTGGTGCGGCCATCCTACCTAGAAAAGAACCCATATCAGCTTATGAGTCCTGCAGCCATAGTAATGGTGGTGGTGCTGTGTCTGGCATTGCCTATGTCGCTCAAACTGCATGGCTTCAAAACTGTAGTATCAGGAACAATATCTTGTTTGGTCTTCCCTATGACAAGCAACGCTACGAAAATATTCTCTACATGACAGCTTTGACAAGAGATCTCGAAATTCTGGAGTTTGGCGATTCAACCGAAGTAGGCGAAAAGGGTATCACACTCAGTGGTGGACAAAAGCAAAGGTAAGCTGTCTACACTATCAGACATTGAAGCACCTATACTCACCCAGCATCCTATGAACACTAGAGTGGCTATTGCAAGAGCTGTCTATTCTCAAGCAGACATTGTGATTTTGGACGATTGTCTCAGCGCTGTAGATGCACACACAGCGAAGCATCTTTACCAACACTGTTTGATGGGTGATTACATGCGCCACCGTACTGTCATTCTTGTTACACATCATGTTGGCCTCTGTATTCGTGGTGCTGGCTATGTCGTTGCTCTGGAAGAATCTGGGTCTGTGGCTGCTGCTGGTAAGCCTCTGGATGTGATTAAATCGGGTGCACTCGGCAACGAATTCTCGCAGGAAGGATATATGGAACAAATCGATGCCAATGAGGAAGCTGCAGCAGATGGCCCTATCCCAACAGTGCCCAAACAAGTCAGCTCTCACAACGATGTATTCTCTGCTACGGATGGTGCTGGCAAGCTGGTAAAAGAAGAAACGCGCGCTGAAGGCAGTGTCAAGTGGGCTGTCTATGGTACCTACTATCATGCCTCTGGTGGGTTTTTGTTTTGGGCTTCTGTCTTGTTGCTGTTTTGCTGTGCTCAGGCATCGATTCTCGGCCAAGATTACTGGATCAAAGTATGGTCTGCCGCATATGACACCATTTCCAACATAACGGCTGCCTACACACGAAACAGCAACGGTATTTTCACTGCACTCGCATATATGGGGCAAGTTGGCAACGCTGGTAAATTTGATCTGGCCAACAAGCTTCACTATTTGGTGCCTGAATCTGTTAAATCATTTGCCCAAGAGATCCAAGACGGCAGCTCTGTGGATGTAGGCTACTATCTCGGCATCTATTTCTTGATTGGCATGCTCTCACTGGGTCTGACTACTATGCGATCGCTTATCCTCTTCCTTGGATCCTTGCGTGCCTCTCGCACCATCCACTCCCAATTGCTGGATCGCATCCTACGTGCCAAAGTACGCTTCTTTGATGTCACACCCCTGGGCCGCATTGTTAATCGATTCTCCTCTGATTTGGAGACGGTAGATCAAGCACTTGCTCCGTCGCTCTCATATCTGCTCTACTCTATCATTGCCACCATCTATGTCATTGTCTTGGTCTCTGTCATTACACCTGTCTTCATTGTACCTGGCTTCTTTGTAGCGCTCATGTTTAGATCAGTGGGTGTTTACTATCTCAAGACATCGCGCGACATGAAGCGTCTGAATTCAGTGTCTCGAAGCCCTATCTATGTGCAATTCAATGAGACAGTGTTGGGTGTAGCTACCATTCGTGCGTTTGGATGTCAACGTCGATTCACTGAAGAAAACTACAAGCGCATTGATGCTAATAACAGACCCTTCTTGTGGATGTGGGCTACCAATCGATGGCTGCATTGTCGTGTGGATGTGCTGGGCGCATTTGTGAGCTTCTGTACGGGTGCTGTGCTTGTTGGCTCAAGAGACTGGATCAACCCTGGTTTAGCTGGTCTGTCACTGAGTTATGCCTTGACATTCACGCACCACGTACTCTGGGTGGTGCGTATGTATGCTATCAATGAAATGAACATGAATGCCATTGAACGTATTCATGAGTATCTGGATATCGAAGAGGAGCCTCCTGCACACATTCCAGCAACGTCGCCTCGCATTTCATGGCCAGAGATGGGCACAGTCCAAGTGGAACGTCTCGTCATGAAGTATGCTCCAGATACACCTGCTGTGCTTCGTGATGTATCATTTGAGACCAGGCCTAGAGAAAAGATTGGTATTGTAGGCAGAACAGGCTCAGGCAAGTCCACGTTGGCCATGTCCCTCTTTCGTTTCATGGAGCCTACATCAGGTCGCATCCTGATTGACGGCATCGACATTCACTCCATTGGCTTGGATGATTTGAGATCAAGACTCACCATCATCCCTCAAGACCCTGTGCTCTTTTCTGGTACTTTGAGAAGCAACTTGGATCCGTTTGGGCAATACGACGATGCTGTTCTCTGGGCTGCATTGAGACGATCGCATCTCATCGACGGTCAGCAACAGCAGCAACAAGAACCTACCCATCCATTAGCTTCTTCGTCCTCATCTGTAAATACCGAGAACATGATCACACTCGACTCCCCAGTGACCGGCTCAGGAAGCAATTGGTCTCAAGGACAACGACAACTAATCGCCTTGGCAAGAGCACTTGTGAAAAAGACATCGCTGATTGTCCTGGATGAAGCTACTTCGTCTGTGGATTTCGATACAGATCATCAAATCCAAGAAACCATCAGACGGGAGTTTACAGACTCCACATTGCTTTGCATTGCGCATCGTATTCGCACAGTGGCTGACTACGACCGTATTTTAGTGTTGGATCAAGGCCAAGTCAAGGAGTTTGATACACCCTACGCACTCATGACAAGAGACGGCAGTATCTTTCAACAAATGTGTCAACGCAGTGGTGAATATGCTGAACTCTTGAGCATTGCAGAGACGAAATTCAAGGGGTATTGATGAGATAGATCTTTTTGATACATGTATACAATAATAAACTTTCAATTCATTTCAATGTGCTTTTATTCATCATCTAAACGAGCTACTACTGCTTCAATTCAACATAGTTGGCAGGGAACAAGCCAACAGTTTTACCGTTAGCAGCTAAACCTTGCCACCAATCCTCACTGACAAATTCAATTTGAGTGATGGTATCACCTTCAGCAAAAGAGATTTCATTGTCCTCTTCGGCAGAGTAATCATACAGGGCAATGGCAACATTTCCTTGGCTTTGCTGTTGCTTGGGCTCTTCAGGATGAACAGGCACAGGTGGTGCGGCGGGAATATCAGCAGCAGCGGGAGCAGCAGCAGCAGCAGCAGCAGGTTGTTGCTCTTCTTCCAAAATTTGAACATAGTTGGCAGGAAAGAGACCTTGCTTCTTTCCATCCTCGCTGACACCAAACCACCAGCCTTCATCCACTTGATCGATTTGAGTTACTACTTCTCCTTCCACAAGTGACATTTCATTTGTTTCGCCTGAGTGATTGAAAGGCGTTGGTATCGAACCAAGTATACACTACATGTCTCACTTACTGGCATCATACTCAAACAACACAACAGCCGAGATACCTTGATGTGGTCCAGAGGGAGCAGCAGCAGCAGCACCAGCTGCTTGTGATGCATGAACAGCACGATCAGCAGTCTAATATATATGTCAGTATTCCCACTTCTACACTGCTTGATCTTACGGATGGAATTACCTTGTTCAATTGAGCTTGCAGAGCTTCCTCTTCTTGTCGTTGACGCTCCTCTTCCTCCTCCTTTTGTCTCTTGAGCTGTTCTTGTTGTTGACGTTGATGCTCAGCCTCCTCTCTTTCAGCATTGCGACGTTGTCTCTCTTGTTCTTCTTGCTCTTGTCTGTGTCTCTCTGTCTCTTCTTGCTGTTGTTGTTGACGTCTCTGATTTTCTTCTTGCTCAGCTTGTTGACGTCTCTGATTATCCTCCTGCTCAGCTTGTTGACGTCTCTGATTATCCTCCTGCTCAGCTTGTTGACGACGGTGATACTCTTCTTCTTCTTCTTGACGCTGACGTTCCTCTTCCTGTGCTCTTTGACGAGCCAACTCGTTTTCTTGTTCACGCACACGTCTTTCCTCGTTTTCCTGCTCTCTTCTTCTTCTATCAGCATCCTCTTGCTCACGTCGAGCAGTAGCTTCAGCCTCTGCTTGAAGCCTGTCACTGGTGTCATCTTGTTGCTGTGGTTGTTGTTGTTGTTGCACTTTGGCTTGTTGCATCTCACGATCACGTACTTCCTTTTCAAACCGTTCACGCTCTGCACGAACAGCATTGGCACCAGAGTCTTGGCTTTGAGCCATGTTCCAGCGTTGTTCCATCTTTTTGGGTGTAGTTTGAATAGGTGTATAGTTAGTACCTACAGGTTTGGGTGCGTTTTCTTTGGTCATGGATTCACGCTGCATGGCAGCAATGTTGGGGATTTCGGTCTTTTTATATACAGAGCCCTGGAATGGAGAGGTGTGTGAGAAGACTAAAACGTCCTGCTACAGACGTTTTCATTCAATAACTTACAACAGGAGTTACTCGGGCCTGGGGTTTGGCGCTTTCTTTGTGCACACTGTAGTTGGCGCCAGAAGACTCGGCGACACGCTTCATGATGAGTTCAGGCTCTACATCAGCCTAGAGGCAATAATAGGGTTGGTTATTCTGCATGCAAGTTTAGTTGAATGAACACTTGCCTCATCGCGAGCATTGATTTGAACGTGGAAGCTCTATGTGAAATTCAGCATGAATATCTCTCCTGCGACTCACTCTCACCATTTACCTTGAAAAACTTGGATACATCGCTCAGTTGAGAGTTGAAGAAGGCCTTTCTCAGCTCTGGTACACCACTGCCACACTAAAATGATCATTTCAATAAGATTGTGTCTTGTTACAGCCTCAATATTAAACCTTACCCATCCAATAAATACAAACTTGGGAAGCTCAGTATTAGGGTCAATTACCTTTGCATAAGCAAATTGGACCTTGCCATCCGAGAATTCATCAGTGAGTTCCTCGAGACCGCCGTCTATCATATACACAGTGTCAAACCATGATGCACACCTGTATTCACACACAATCTGCTACATACCGCCGGTTGCTTGCACTCGCAAGTCATAGGTGCCTTTATCATAAGCATAAATCAACCAGTTGGTATCGTCCTTTTCGCTGATGACAGCTTGATAAGCAGCATTGAGCTCTGGCCCGTGAGTCGTAAAATTAACGTGAAAACTCATAGTTGTTTATATATGAAATGAAGAAAAAGAAAGGTGTTTTGCTTGGCAATCCTAAACTTGAAACCTGATGTAGTACTCGAAAGTAATTTACTTTCCACGACGTCATTTGGTCTACATAAAAATCACCGCATTTCAATTGATGGATATGCCATTGGCTACCTCAGCTGAAATAATGTGTATGATCGTCTTGCTATTGATCTGTTCCATGCTGTATCCACTGCCACGCTGAAATAGACTCAATCAATGTGCTTTTATGTTGGTTTGTTTTTATTGAAGAGGGAAAGAAAATGATGGTAACTCAACTAGGAATTCACATAAAGTACATGCTATCTTTAATTTTGGCATCTACAGTAGCATAGGCAGCCACTTGAGCTTCCATTGCAGCTGTATCGCCAGTCATTGTCGTGTCAGACCAATCTTCACTAGGGCGATGAAGACGAGCGCGAGCAGCGACAAGATCGGCATAGTACACAGCAGGAACAAGAGAGACTGGACCAGTGGAACGAGCATAAGAGTAGCACAACTTAAAGGTGAGATCTTGCAAAGTGTTGGCGTTAAATTGATTTTCATCAAACAAGACATAATAATGAGTCGCACGAGCAGTTCCCTTGATGGCAGCATGAGCTTGCAAGTAGAAATCAAACTCAAAGGGATGAACAATATGGGTATCCACGACCAAGCCAGGCAAGCAATTTCCACTGCGATCAGCATCATTGCGATTGGCAGGGAGGAAGCGAACACGATGTCTCTTTTGGACAACCACAAAAGTAATAGTAGGCCGGAAGTCTGGATCAAGATGCGCACAGGCCTGGCGAATGACATTGACTTCAGCGGTCATGACATGCTGGAACTGGCTGTCGGCAACACCATCTCGATAAAAGATCATACGTTGAGGCTTCAGACCCGTCTTTTGATAAAATTTACGGAGCAATTCAATAATGACATTGCCTAAATCACTGACAATTTCAGTGCGAGCTTGCAAACGGATCGTGGCGACAAAACGAGCAGCCATTGAATCCACGGAAGCAGTGACAGCAGCGACAGAAGGTGCGTTGGAACCAGGGAATGGATGGCTCACATCGATGCCAAAGACGATGGTTGGCCGGTTAGAGACGAATGGGATCTCCTCATGGTGCAATACGTGGTTGGTTCCGCCCAGCTTGACATTCACCTTCAATGCTACGTTGGCACAGTATTGCTTCTTGGCTTGAGCAATATGCTTGGATTGTAAGCATTGAGAAGGCACGCCGATGACAGTATCCGTGATACGCTTGATCTCACCATAGAGTTGACTACCAAGGTTGGGGAGTATACAGAAAATCAGTTGAGGCTCTGCTCGCGCTTGTCTACCAGCATTCAACCAAGCTTCCTTGAGCGTGCGCTCAATATTGCCTTGAGGATCTGCGTTCAGAGTGGGTGGATTGCGATTTATGACGGCCATGCCCAACCCTGCGAATATGGTCACCAATTCACGAATGAAACGCTGGATAGCTTGAATGGGAACAGCACCAGCAAAATTGACAAGAGACCAGGATGCCAATGTAGCAGGCTGCTTAAATTGCTTTCCTTGCAGATTCCAACCACTGGGTTGAGGTCGGATAGCTGCTTGACCAAAGGCGACTCGTGGAGGCTCCATGATACGGGCATTGACAATCTCCATCTCTTGGCTAATTTTGAGACCAAATTCTTCCAGATAGGGATTGTTTCTATGTCGCAACAGATCCAAGCCTTGATTAATCATGTTAAAGCGAACTTGAGGGGGTTTGGCAGTGGCAGTAATAAATTCAGTCGTCTGTCTTGGGTTCAGCCTTCGAGTAAAGCGTTGACCAGATGTGATTTCGCAGACTTCCATAGGCAAAAAGATGTCTTTGCGAACCACAACACATGGCAAGAAGGGGTAGTTGAGGCGTAGGTTATACGTTTGCAAAAAGTAGTCAGACACTAGGATGTTGTTTCCATTGGCATCAGCAAATGCCACTTGGTTGGCAGGACCACCCAAGTTGGTAATTTTGAAGGTGAGGCGACGTTCACCGCGATGAGTCACTAAAATAGTTCGGCCTTTCAGGAGTCTATTCAGCATGATCATATCACGATCAGGGACTCCCATCCTCAGTTCATTGAGCGAGCGCTTGTTTAGGATCTTAGCAGCAATTTCAGGCAATCGACCAGACTCATACATGACTGTTGCACTCACGTCAATGTTCACAAACATGTTGCCTATAGTGTCAAAGTTGAGGTATTTTATTACAAAGCACCTGAGTTGGGGGGGGGGACTACTTGCCTTGTGCAGGACGGAATGATTGGTAGCAACCGTACCAGACTTCAGCGCCATTTGATAAGGGCACTTTGTTATCAGAGCTAAAAATGGATCGATTGAATGTGAACTGGGTTTGTGATGGCAAGAAGCGGATCAGAATATCCAGCAACATGATAGCTATATATTTGAGTGATTAAATACCGTGGGACATATGATGAATCAATTTTTTCTTACCAGTGAGGCAATTTGTTGTGCAAGCAGATCGACCATTGATAAAATCCACCAATACTTGCATATTTATGGTGTTGGCCAGTTGGAGACGAATAGTGAAAATGTTTTCCTTGCCTCCATGACCAAAGGCAGGATTGTTAGTAACATCCATCTAGAGAAATTAATTCAGTTCTAAACATGTCATACAATAACTACTTTACACTACTTACAGGAAACGATTGAGCTTGGGTCTGCCCCAATTCGAATCTAACAACTGAAAATACACTGCTGCGTCCATCAAAGATTGACCTTGAATTCCCAACGACTTCTGGATGAGTCTCTTCGAAGAGGTTCCATAACGTTCTCATCTTTTGCTGGGGTAAATAGGGCTGGACATTGGCATTGTAGTGGTAAAATTCTCGAGCAGGCAGATTCAGCACCCGGAAAAAGTTGGCTCGTACCTGGATAGGCCTTCCTAGTGTGCCTTCGTCAGGCCTCAAAACCAGGTTGGTGAGGTTAATAGGTGCAGCCATAATGCATGAATGTAGTATGAAATGCAGAGAAGGCTGATTAAGAGGAAAGAAGAGAGAAGGAAAAGAGATCACATATGTGGGTCAATTTATAGCAGATTAAATTGGCTCTATTTGAAAGCGATTGAATTAACTGTAACATGTAATATGGTTGATCTGCTGCATAATAAACAACTTGCAATAGCCAAGTCTTTTAGATATGGAAATGCGCAAAAAGAGCGAAATGAGCTTCCAACAGCATCGTTTACCTTCATGAGTAGAATGGCATTGATTTTGCCCAGCCAAAAACTGGCTTACGCTCCGACATATATGCTGATCTGATTTGTCGATTTTTGAGCTTTTTAGATTCGATTCGACCTATTTTGTCAAATTCGACCATGTAAATCGCGATAATCATTCCATTCTTCCTAATGCGGCCCGTGGTGGTAGGGCGAAGTGGTTAAGCATCCAACATGCCATCTGAATGATCCGGTTCGAATCCTGGTGAACGCAAGTTGTTTGAATTTTTGACGTAATACTGATGTCCTCGTTTGGTGCTTTTGTGCTCTTATCCAACTATCTATATTTTGACGATTCGCATAATTGTATTTGCTCTAGGTGTCGCACTTGATTAGTAGTAGGTTTCTTTCCCAACTTAGTTCAAAAATATCTTATTCTCCTTCATTGCAGACATTGGGTCCACCAACAGTCTTTTCTATCCCTCAGTATGACATCTAAAGGACTTAAAATAAAAACTGGAGCTCGTCTCCCCTACAAAAAAATTCTTCCTAATGCATTTCTGGAGAGCTTTTCAAGGCGCATCCAATGGTGCCAAGTAAAATAAGTGTTTTGACTGAACTTATTGGGCAATTTGAGAAAATACGACATATGGTTTTTGGCGAAAATGTTGAAATATTACATATGAAAGTCTCGCAAAAGTAACTTTAGGGGCTGCTTAGGATCGAGAAAAAATTTTTGATCTAATAAATGTCATAGTAAAAGTGTGCATTTTTGGGGTCAAAAACGCGATCGTTTGATTTTCGATGAAAACCATGAGGTATTCCTCATGATTTTGGATCAATTTTTGGCGATCTCAAAAAAGTTGAGCAGAGATATCAGGAAGTACCTGCTAGTCGAAAGCAATTGTTTGGTGCTATTTTGGCAGCTCAAAACGGCTTCTAGCTCGAGAAATCACGGCTTGAATCCACCTAATTTCTACTGGAATTTGTGTACATTGCAATAGTAAGAGACAATACGAGTATATTATTTACCCTATTACAATTCGTTTCCATTGATACAAATATGGGACACTCGATAGAATGCAGATCCACAGTAACAGCTTGTTTATTAGAGTTCTCATGCGAAATATAAGAGAAATTCAACAATACCAATATTAGGATTTGGACAGGTTTTTTTTCCAACTTATTTAAGCCAGAAAAAAATCACTCCACTCAAGAAGAAACAACAATTGATGTCATTTTACAACGTTTCAATAGTAGGTTTACAGACTTCAATGATAAAAAAAGATTTTGCTTAATTAACGAATTGCCTTAAATGTCATTGCAACGATGAAATTTACAGAATTGCTGTTTCAACATTTGGTACCAAGCATTGAACAGAAGGAATGTCAATTGATAGATATATAGATGATGCACAGCAAAAAAAAAAGAAGAACTTGCCATGTTTTCATGGAGATGAGATGTCAAATTACTGCTACCTGCCATTATAACGAATTCAGTAACGAGATCAAAAAAAAAAAAAAAAAAAAAAAAAAAAGATTTAATCTAACCAAGTTCCTGACGAAATGAAACACCTGCATTTAATTAAAGAACAAATTTCCGCCTTGGATGCAACTGTATAAAGAGTTATAGATGGTCTCTTTACAACTGAAATCGACTGAACAAGAAAAAGGTGTATTATTATGTGTAACATGGCGCGGTGTTGCCTTTGTAAATAACAAACATGTGCCAATTTACTTTGTTCTGTAATTCTTTCGTTCCTTGTATGACTCCACCTGTGTTTTTATTGACCAACCAAGACTCCCTTTCGTCTTGCAATCTCTCTCATTTATTATCAAAGAGTTCCCCTCCTTCTTTCTCTTTCTTTTTCTTTTCTTCTATTCTAACGTTTTAACTGAAAGCTTACATTCATTTGTCTCTTCTTTTCCTTTCCTTTTCATCTCTCTCGCATTTACATTTTGAATCAACGCTACTATATTTTTGGCAGCAGCAGAGAAAACAACCATTTCGATTTTGGAATCTATTCTTCTTACATGACATTCTGATCGAAACATTTGTATCAACAATCAACATCATCACCACCAAGCAATCACCATCAGACACACATCACAACCAATAAATGAAAACAGGCTCACATGTCGCTGCTGCTCGACTTGGCTTATTGTTAATACTACTAACAATCAACTTGTGTCGTGCATCGTATGTTACACATCCCAATATCAACTTTGATCCTCTTGGAAAACTGGGCATCTCTGGATCTTACAATGGCATTTCATTGTACACCGACACCGAACAACTGACACAGATACCATCATCCACATCCTCTGTTGTGGCCCTCTCCAACGACATATTGAAGCTCATTGCATCCTCCAATGTCAATGGCATCATTTTCGATGCTTGTATTCTATCAAATACACTCTACATTGCCGGTAACTTCTCGACCCTGAAAGGACACAGCGTCAACAACATTGCATCGATTGATTTATCAAACAACCAAATCAAGCCACTGAAATATGGTCTCGATGGGCCTGTTTATAGTGTGTACTGCGATGCCACACAAAATCAAGTGTACGTGGGCGGTGCATTCATTGCACCAGTGGATACGTCCATGATCAAGTATTCAGATTCGCTCTCCCAATTTGGAGGCGGTGTTGCCATTTGGAAGAATCAGCAATGGAGCGGATTACCTTGGAAAGGAGTCAATGGACCTGTTTACTCGATAGCAAAAACCAGCACATCCATTTTATTCGCTGGCCAATTCAATGCCTCTACAGATGGACAGCCCTACCATGCACCTGCCACTCAACCCATCAGTTTATCATCTTCTGTAAGTGTGATGCTGGTTTTTTTTTTTTTTTTTTTTAATTTAGTGTTAGCATAATGAAATTCCTATTCTCCTTTATATGCTGATATCTAACTTGACGACGACAATATAAACAGGGTGTGAGTGCGACCAACACAGCTTCCAATTCTGCCGCACCTGGCTCCATTATTTGTGCAGATGCAGCCAATACCAAGCCTTGGATTTTATCAGATGGCATCAATGGCACATGGCAAACAACATTTCTTGATTACAGTGTCAATCCAGTCTTGATTCGAATTTCAAATTCAAGGTTGGAAAATCATCAAACAAATCAATTTTCGTATGTATCCAGAAAAAGGAGCTTTTTCCCCCTTTTTCTCTTGATGAAAATCCCACCATTTGAACTGACAGGAGTAACAAACTGATTTGAATTTTGCTGTAGTATTCGATCCTTGGTAGATGCCACCATATACCAACTTTCCTATTTGGATCCAGATACCAACCTTACAAAAACCTGTTCAACCAACTGCTCACTTTCAAAGAACACCAACGTGTTATATCAGGATTTTAGAATCACCAACATTTCATTGACAAACGGCATTGCTATCGATATTCATTCTTGGTATGGTGTGGGTGGCGGACTAGCCTCTGTCAAAGTGTTTCAGTCAGGTAAAGCTTGCAGATTCTCTTTTGTGTATAAAGATGCTAAGATACAATTCTCAGAAATATTCGCTTATGCCGTCGATGCTTCGGCCTCCAACATGTGTGCTTCCACCTCATCGACAACAAACAACAACAGCACAACACTACCTAGAATATCGTCTGTAGGCGGTTGGACAGTCTCCAACACGAGTATACCCTATTTAACAATGCCAGTGACCAAATCCGATCTCTTGTCTCCCCCTTCAGTGACATTTTACCCCAATCTAGCAGAGTCTGGCTTGTATGAAGTACTGCTCTACTCACCCGCATGTTCAGGCAGTGAATGCTCAAAACGCACAGATGTCGATGTCTTTATATCTACATCTGCATCGCAAACATCCAATATCACACTTGCACCTTCCAGCGCGACGAGTCAGTCCATTTTTTCTGGCTATTTTGACGTCTCTGCCAATTTTACGCCTAGTATCAAGGTGGCATTAGCTAAAAATGCATCCTTTTCGGGTAGCCCTACCATGACATTGGTGGCTCATGCTGTGCAGTTCATCAAGAATCCCTCTGTCGATGTCTTGTCCAGCGTTATTCAGTACAACACCTCACAAAACACTGTTACGGCAACCTCCATTCCATGGGGGAAATTAGCAGGTAGGCCTCAACTTCGCCCCCTGATGGATCAAGCGGTCTGCTAACGCTCTCACATGTATAGACAATATTCCTAGCCACTCTACTATCAAAAGCATGGATGTATTCAATGACAGTATCTACATGGCTGGCAATTTCAGCGGGACCGATAAATCCAACAACAAGTACAGCAATATTGTACAATACGATGCCAGTGCTCGGCAGCTGAAAGCCTTGCCCAACCAAGGACTCAACGGTCCTGTCGAATCGATTGTCTGCACAGATACCGGTACGTATATATTTCGTTGGTAGACTGCATGTATATTGACCTTATCCTTTCCTCAGAGCTGTACGTGGGTGGATCATTCTCCATGTTGTCTGGCAATACTACAGTTGTCGATTATTTAGCCAATGTTGCACGATACAATATGCAAACAGGCACTTGGAGCGCGCTTCATGCAGTAAGTGTATATAAAGTGGTGGTACAAGGTGGATTTCTGTATTAAAACTGCAACTGTATAGGGTGTTGATGGTCCTGTTATGGCAGTGAATTGGTCTAAAGACAAGCAATCTATTATAGCGTCTGGTGCATTCTCACAGCTCTTGCAAACGAGCCAAGATGCTTCTGGTATGGGTACAGCGGCCGGAACAGCGCTCTGGAATACGCAGTTGCAGCAATGGACAGCCTCCAAAGACACACCGTACATGTCGGGTGTGGTCTATGCCACTATCCATCACAACAACAACGACTATTACATGGGCAACCTCAAGAGTGTGCAACGCTATCCATTCAACGGCATGTCATTCATTTCAAACGACAATACCATCTCATCGCCCTTTGATACTGTGCGTCCTGAAGGTACCATTAGTGCTGGTGTGCTTTACAATAGTGTTACACCCAATCTCACTAAAAGAGATGCTAGTAACAGTAGCAACAACGGATCAACTACTAGCACTATTTTTGGCGGTCAATTTACATTACCAGGCCAGCAAGCCATTCAGAACATCGCCATCTACGACAACGGCGCCTGGAGTGGTGTTGCGGGTGCAGACTGGCAGGGCACTGTGCACTCCATGGCTGTCTACCATGATTTGCTCTATGTTGGTGGCCGTTTCTCTGGTCCTAGCAGCCATGATTTAGCAGTATTTGATTTGACCAAGAAATCGCTCTCATTAACGCCTGATGTCAAGACGAGTGATGGATCGCCTGCCTCTGTCAACATTGTGCGCCACATTCCTCCCCGAAACACCATCGTGATTGGTGGTAATTTCACTTCGGTTGGATCCTTGTCATGTGCTTGCATCTGCTCTCTTGATATCGATAGCTTGCAATGGAGCTCGCTAGGGTCTGGTCTTGAAGGCGAGGTCCAGGATGTGCAATGGATCAATGGCAAGCTAGTTGCTACAGGCAACATCAGTCTCAATCATTCTCCACTCACCATTGCAGAGTACGATTATGACAAGAACACTTGGGGTCCCTTTGGTACAGCCAATCTTCCCGGTCCCTCATTTACCTTGTCGTATGATAACAACACGCAGCATGTCTATGTGTCTGGACAAACCAACGATGCTTCGGCCTCTGCTTACATTCGAGTGTGGGATGGCCAGCAATTCATGACGCCGAAGACTGAATTGGGCCCTGGTAGCTCCATCACTGGTTTGTCTATGTTGCCTATGACCACCACCAATGCCTCCAGTCAAAACGCCTTGCTTGTCTCTGGCTTTATCAACTTGGGCATGCTTGGAAACGTCAGTGCAGCCTTCTTTGATGGAGACAATTGGTCGCCTTACTTGGTCACTTCCAGTGCTAATGGTGATACGTCTAGTTCTGCATTGAACAGTGTCTTTTACTTGGAGCAAATGCCCTTCATTGCACCCTCTAAAAACAAGGGCAGTATGCCCACACCCTTGATCATTCTGGTCTCCATTGCTATTTCCCTGGGTATCGTCTTTTTGATCGTCTTGTGCTCCATGTTCTGTGTCTATATTAAGCGAAAGAGAGATACCAAGATCAATCCACAATCCATTCCTGGCGCGTATTACGGCAAACCACCTCGCACGCCTGAATCGCTTTTAGCTGTCTTGAAAGCAGCTGCTGCACCAGAAGGCGACGATCATGATGGGGATGAGAAAGAAGACAGTCGACGCTACTTGCAACAACCCGAGAATCAACAGCTGTACAACATGTCGAGGTCCATCAGTCAAGAGCATTTGCATGAACAGTCCCTGACGCCGTTCAACCCAACGGTGGCTGGTGGTGTGGCTGCAATGACGACAGCAAGGGCTGCTCCTGTGCCTCCCACAGCACATTCTCGATCCTACTCTCAACAGCAACAGCAATACAACAACATGTTTGGAAACACTACTGTTGTCAACCATAATCAGGAGCAACAAGGCGTGAGTAAAGGTGCTGCCGCTACCGCTGCAGGTGTTAGTATGGCAGGAGCTGCTGTAGCTACTGTTGCTTCCAATGGATCCAATCATCACGATGCCGCTCGTCCAGAATCTTATGCTAGACCTTATAGTGAGATTCAAAGAGATTCCAACACAGATTCCTTTTACAACAACGAGTACACAAATACAAGAGAGATGTCTGAAATTCCTAGCCGTTATAGTCCTTTCAATCCATTCAGGAACTCTGAAATTGGTGTTGCTATAGCTGGAGGCGCTACTGTTGCTGCTACTACTGGAGCCAACAAGAATGAGACAAACGCATTCACTGAACAACAGCATCAACCACAACAACAGCCTCAAGCTGTCACGTATAGCAACATTGCACCACCAGAAACATCCAGTATGGCTGCAACGCCGTTACCTGAAACTGTGCGTTGGACAAATGCTTCACCTGCTGCTGCTGCTGCCATGAGCTCTGCTGTCGTAAAGCCTATTTCTCTTGTAGGCACTTCGGATGGATCCTCTTCTCTTGTAGACCCTGTGTATGGACCTGGTGCCTCTGCTGATAAGGTAGATAAAGTAAGATGGACAAATGCACCCAGTAGTCAACACGCTCTGTCCTCTGCCGTTGTTACCCCCATGGTGCCTTCACTGGAGAACCGTTCTGTAGACAATCCATCCACGCAGAACAGCTATCTCAGTCCTCGTGCTGCTGCGCCTGTGCCTAAATCCACCGATACCTTCAATCAGGCATCAACCTCCTCCTCCCCTTCCAACAATGTGAGATGGACGAATTTCAATACAGATGAAGCAGTCGGCGTGGCCACTATTAGCCCTGTATCCAGTGAAGTTGTCAATAATACATTGTATCCTTCTGAAAAGTCATCTGCCTTGAGTAATCCCAGTATCTCCAATACCATTCAATCAGGGGAAGCCTTTTCCAGCGATCCTGACATCGTCCGCTGGACTACAGCACCTTCTGCCGACAAGAACAAGGCTACAGCTACTATTGCGCCAGTAGAGCCAAGTGAAAGCCATGCTTTCAACTCGATTGGAAAGAGTCAGCCCTACAAAGCATCTCTCTCATCTTTGGCTTACCCTTACAATGCAGCTACACCAGCCACAGTGGACTCATCAAGAAGCCTGGAGGTGTCCGGTGCTGCTGCTGCTGCTGGATACACAGCGCATCACCACTCTAAAAATGATTCTACCTCGTCTGCAGACAGAGTGATCAATACCAACGCCTTCCGACTGTCTGATGCTGGCTCCTTGGCTCCCATTGATACATCCAATTTGGGCTATGCGTTCAACAAAGATACCGGTCGTCAAGAGCCACTGAGCCCTGATTCAGCCGTGCGTTGGAAGACGGCTAATGTTGGATCTCCCATTGAAACTGTCCATGTGCCTCACATCTTGGAACCTGCTTCTGCTTTGGTCACTCGCAGATCCGCTAATCCAGAAGATGGAGAAAAAGACGAAAAGGATGTTGCATTGGAAAACTACTACAACAATCCGCAGTCGGCGGCACCTGTGAAGAAGAGCAACAAATACAAACCTGTCGTCAATGAGTCGCGTTATGTGCCTACTGTCTCCACGAATAGCAACGCAGAGATGAATGAGCCAATCGGCCGTAAATCAGAAGCGATTGATGATTTGATTGCAAGTCGAGATTTGAATGCATTGAGTGTACTGATTGATGAAGAGGTACCTACTGCGACTACTTGGACGCTGCCAGAACAAAAGCAAGAGGAGCCACCTGTGCCTCAATTAATGGCAGTGCCTACACCCTCTCGCTCCACACCTTCACCTTCAGGCGTCAACGCGATTGACGGAAGAGCAGCCTCTAAACGCATGGTTGAAGAATACCTGACATCCAAAAAGACACCTGCAACAACAGATGATAGCAAGAAACATAAGTACAAGAGCGATTTCACGTCTGTCATGGAAGCAGCCATCAAGAACAATGCTGATTCTCCTGTCGCTACAGAAGAGAAACCACACTTGTATTACGCCAAATTTGATTTCAGTGCTCGAGAGCACGGTGAACTTGGTTTTGAAAAAGCAGATCCTATTATCGTCGTGGATTCCAGTGATGATATTTGGTGGATGGGTTACAAAGCAGACAGTAAGTATCGTGACACGGATCTATGTGTTGTAAACGAGCAAAAGCTAACTAGTTTGGTAGAATCTGACGGCTCTTTTATTCAAGGTGTATTCCCTAGTAATTATGTCGAAATTGCAGTTGCTATTCGATAAACTACCTCCTACTAGTATACAACGTAATTTTCTTATTCATACACACACAAACACAACATTATTCGCATCCATCCCTCCCATAATTCTTGATACATATATATAAAATCATTTTCCTTTTATGCTTTTAATTTTGACATGAGATGTTCAGTGTTTTCTCTAATAACTGCGTCCAAGATGGTATGAATCTTCATGCAACCTTCTGTTGCTAATTCTGTGACACTGGCAAGTTTATCTACATGAAGGCGAGATTCCATCTACAACAACCAGGATCAGCCGTTGATCTCTCTCCAAGAGTGCTCAAAAACCTACCTCTAATAAGGTCACCTTTCCAGTTCTAGGCAATATCGCAACAGTCAATTCAGGTGTATCTGATGTCTCCTCCAAGTTGTTTAGATCCAAAACAGGCTCCTTGTCAATGCAGCCAGCTGAACAAGCACACACATAATCCATCATGGGAATACCAGCATCAATCAAAGCCATGGTTGCTGCATTGATACAAGCTTGCAGTAACCCTATCATACACCTCAAGTCAGTCTATTGCAGCATCAAGCTCATGGCTGATGATCCTCACCTCCATCGTTTTGGAAAATTTGAAGATAAATACTGATTTGAGTTTTGGGAAATTGTGATGTGAAAATGACAGGTTCAAAGGTTTGGCGGATGAATGCTGCTACTTCTAATGAACGTCTACACAATTACTATCAATACATGATACCTTAAGTTCCTTTTTTCTAAACCTACTTGTCGTTTTTGGATCTCTTTTTACGTTCACTCGAACTGAAAGGTGCCACGTTGAATTCAACATTGATGAGAGCACGATCAGCATGGCCTTGTTGACGGAAACGAAGCTAGGACAAAGACCATCAATTCGCTATGACCATCACCATTACCACACATGAGCACATACCTCTCTGGGACCATACACAGCAGCAAGACATTTGGTATTACCTTGTTCAATGTAAGCAGAGCCATCCGCTTGGCTAAACACTGAGGTTTTGGCTGTGATTTTACGTAATTCATTGGCACGACGGCCATCGATACGTAGACCTTCAGGAGTGAGTAATTCTAAGCGAGACTATATATTGACATTGAGCACATGGGAACCTAAAGACAATGTGGTTGATGCGTGTATCCTTACCATGATATGAAAGGTTGAACAAAGAAACTTTTTTTTTCCTGGTTCATGGAGATAATTGCTTTGAAAGCCAAGCCAAACCAGTCACCTGCTTGGATCAAAGGCATTGAGCCTCCGTATCATTCAAAGGTCTGATCATGCAATTGATCCTCGGCTTCAGCTCGTGTTTGGTCTTTGATGAGAATTAGATCCATCGAATTCGCATATACCAAGTAATATAAATGCAAAAACTTGAACTTGAATGATGGAAAAATGGCATCTCTCGCAGTACTCGAATCCTTCGTTAATGCAACTTTGGTGTACATCTGCACCATTATCCAAGCCTATGCACTACCTTAGAAAGAGTATGAGCTTACAGGCAACTTCAATATGAACAACAGGCTGATGAAACTCGAATTTTCCCTGGAGTGTTTGATCGTCCTACTGAGATGAACCAAGGAGATCAGGTCAACCAATCGATACCGAGTGAGTCATTTGCCATGGCATGATTAGGTTGCCTTTCCTTGATAAATATCTATGATTTAGGTTTGTTTTGATGATAACATGCATGGATACTAGAAGGATAGTCTAAAAAGATGGTATTTGCCATCTTACAACCACCTTTTATTTGACAGATTGGCATCTTTTTGCAGACATCATGCTACATATTAAAGTTACACCAGCATCACTAAACATTAAAACTGAAAGAAGCTTGTTTTCTTTTTAACTTTTCTTTTTCTTTACCTCTTAAAACTGGTAATGAGTAGCAGCACAGATAACAGCAAAAGTGCATCGAAGCCCAAGGCAAACGTCTTTGTAAGCGGCTTCATTAAACTACCATATAAACCGAGATTAACGCAACTACGCAAAGAATTCAACTTTGGCAGGAGCAGGAGCAGGAACGATCGAGATTTTGCTAATGCAGGTATGATATGTTAATCAGAGTTTAAAGTATAATGCTAATATTCAGCATGTGTCCCGTCAAATAGCCAACAGATGTCGTCAAGACTAGATTTCAGGTAAGGTTTGATATATAGACTCAACTGGAGCTATCAAAGTCTGAACACACTGTGTAGTCTGCCACAGCGGCATCTCATTACAAAGATGGTATATTCAAAGCCTTTAGTAGCGTATTCAAGGAGGAAGGATTCTCAGGTATGCCACCTACTCATACGCTCAATAGATATTGCCTATTGAAACTGTTCCGTGTAGCCTTTTACAGAGGAACTATACCCGTCTTATGTATCGTAGGGCCACGTATTTCGCTGCAATACATGGGGTTGGCATTCTACAAGCCTATTTTCGAGAAATTCGAGGAGAGAAATATCTTGCCGGCTCATAGTTCAGCGGGATTAGCAGGCATATGTACGGGTATTACGCAGGCAGTGACACTTGGTAAGGCATTCATAACAGTAAATTGGAGGCCATCATGATCTAACAATGTTGGAAAAGTAACACCGCTGGAGATGATCAAGGTACGCCAACAAACAGAGATGGTGCTCAATAAAGATCAAAAGAGAAAGTATTATGGATTGATCAATACAGCTTCTATCATCGTTCGACAAGAAGGGTAACGAATAGATTCACTGATGCATGAATCTAAGCAGGGCTAATTAGGTATGATAGATTTGCAGCTCTTTACAGTGGACTAATGGCGACTGTAGCTCGACAAAGTTGGGGTACAGTGTAATCAAAGCAAGCAGTAGATAATGGAAGAGATTAACATAAGAAACATGTAGGATTGTTTGTCAAATTTTCAGCATACATCGAAATCAAAGCCATGTTTGAAAGATCTTCTGGCAGTACAGATGGAACTTTGCAACCATGGCAACATATGGTAATATGTATTTGTGATAGGAATCGATGGAGGGTATGTTACTGAGACTACAGGACTATTTAGGTGAGTGGCGGTATGGCTAATGTGCTTGTGGGCGTATTGAATTCCCCGCCTGATGTTGTGAAAACAAGGTATATACTACATTTGTATGTTTTTAATATCAGATGGATATAGTTAACGAAACATGATTAGAATGCAAGATGCGGGAAGATCCTACATCAGCACTTGGGATTGCATAAAATCCATGTTACGAACTGAAGGGCCTACATCGTTTTTCAGAGGCTCTTGGCTTCGTATCATTCGTATTGCACCAGGTAAATGTTCATCTTTTAAGGGTATTTGCAGTGGCTAATCAACGTTTGCACAAAAAAAAAGGTGGAGCTATTCAATTTGCTTGTTATGAGCAGATTTTGAACTGGCTGAATAGTAGAAACAAGGATGTCGCTCAATAGAATTGCAATAAATGCTTAGATCATCTCATAGTGATATACTTTCAAAAGAATAAGATGGGCGCTGTTAAAGAGATCTCTGGACAAGATTATGATACATTAGTGATTGATTACAATGCTAGAAAAAAAATCAATTTTTCATCTTTTAAACCGTTTTTTTCCTCTCCTCTCTTTGTGTTCTATCATCTATACATACTCTTCCAAATCAACCGCTTACTCCCAGAACTTCTACCCAATATACTTCAATAAGTATATCTTTACAGCTAACGCCAATGTTTGCAAGTCTTCATATTGTGGTATACAACTGCTATCAGATTCGCCACTGTCAATGCCAGAAAAACAAGCATTCATTGCATCAATAATATCAAGGACTTGAACAAAAAGTGTCTACATATTCTGTTCGAGGACAAATTGCATTTTGACAAGGTCAATACATTATTTTGCTTTAATAATAATTGCAGTAAAAAGGGGGTTAAAAAAGCAGGTAGAATACTGTTAAAATCCTTCTTTATTCGAAATTAGGATAATGTGCAATAAAATGTATATTCTACGTCTCTATTTATATTATTTGGTTTATATCTCTTATCTGGCAGCAGTTTAGTAGTTGCCAGTGATTCCATTACTTTATATATTTTTGTTGGGTCATTTAGTTGTTGATCTGATGGATCAAGAACGGTATTTCAATATATGGTTTTTGAATCATGCGTAAAGAATAGCTCTTTATTGTTGAGCCTGTATCCTTTTTAGGTATATTTATGTTACAACACATTACAATACCCTTGACGTTTACTTTAGTATCTGTCATCTCTTATTTTAGAGCATTTAACCCTTGCTATCATCATGCTAATACTATTATTATGCATGCCTATCTGCTGATGGTAGCATGGTTTGATTGAGATGACATTTATTTTGGGTTTTGTTTATGATGGGAATCTAGTCTAGTTCACTTCAATAATACTGTTTAACGAAAACTTTCTATTATTTGACACTATCATTTGGCACTTGTTGCTACGATGCCAGTAAACTTCCGTCATAATAATACTAGTAAAAAGAAGATAATTTTTACTTGAAAATAATTGAAAAAAAACACCCGTTTTGAAGCATTGAAATGGCCTGGGTAGTAAAATAACCAACCTTGGATATGTGGAGGAATATAAATACCGTAAATTGAAAAGTTTATTATTCTTGAATAAAGCAAGCTACAGTTGTCTAGTCATTACAATAAGATTCTTCAACATGTCAGGTATTTATTGATAACTTAAAACCTGCAAGTTAATATGGACCTTTTCGTACGCTCCGATTTTTAAAATGCTCAGTCAAATTCATACTTGTGTGGTGCACAGTTGCGAACGCTTAACGGAGATTCAATTTCTATTGTTCTGAATGATGATCCATGGGATTTCGAAATCTATCGACCTTCAAATTACGCGTTTGTTGATAGTAACCATCCCTCCAAACTTATATAAAACTTGTAGAGAATTCAAAGGAGAATACAATGGTATTCATATCAAGTCTCTGGTGTACATTGTTCACCTGATATTTAGTACCATTGTTTTTGCAATTTTTTGACTGTTTTCTAAAGATTAATCAGTATCTGTCATCGAAACATTTTGTTTAGCATTACTAGACGTTGTAAACCAAAAAAATTTCTATCGAATGAGATACTGCTTGAAGCTCTGACATGATTCTATCATGAAATATTGATAACCTTTTCCTAACTAAAAAATCGCCACCAGATTTTTTGCTTACTATCACAGGCAGATTTTGAAGAAGGAAAATCCATGATTTTGCATGATACTCTTTTTTGACCATATCTCGACAAATACTCGCTGAATTCGCACAAAGCAAATGGGGAATACATCCACTATGATCTGCATTCCGACAGTTCATCCAGTTACCAGATTTAGATATAAACTGTATGTACGCTGGATTAGATGTACGATATCGATTTATACTATAAGAAGATATGGACTTCAGATACGCTAGTACTATAAGATTCATACTATATAAGATATAAGCTATAGATGGCACCACGGACATGGATGGCACTATAGACTTATACTTGTATTCCGACATTGACTACGGATGTTTACCATATCTGGATAGGCACCAAGATTAATGCAATATGAGCTTGTTGCTTCAGATGTGCACTTCATGATCCACGCTATAAGACACATGCTTATATCCGTGATACTAGCTACAGATACTTTATGTACTACAGACTTATACTATATATGAGACATGCCATATATCCAGATACATGCTAATAAAGATTTATGCTCAGCGATATACACTCAGATATGTACTATTGATATAAACTAAGGAGACTGTACCTATCAGATACATGCTACTAGATCAATATTAATTATCCTTATAGAAAGGATAGATCAGGGTACTTCGGATGAGAGTCTAATTATTCATCCAGACAGAGCTGAATCATGATTAGCTTGCTGGAGTTGTCTTTTAGCATGATTAGACATTAGTTGATCTGAGTTAACTTATTTGTCAATCTAATTAATAGAACTTTTATCCATTGTTATAGTATATAAGAAGGATCATCTACCTGGACAGTAGAGAGACTTCAGTTTACTTTACACCTGTCAGTTTGATAATAAAACATACCTTTATCAAGTTGACTTTGCTGTTTTTTTATTCTTTTTTTTTCGTCAATTTTAGTCTATCAAGCCTCAAATTCCACACTCATAATCGCTATTATATCTCACCGGATCGTAACTGAGCAACTACACAGATAGACCAAAATATATCAGATGAAGTGTCACGTGACCCACTTGATGCTGTATTAGTTTGTATAAAGAAATATATCTTTAGAAATTCCTCGTGCCTAAATTTAGGTTTAAGCCAAATCTGAAGAAAGCGACTCAAAGGCGCCAGCATATACTCGAAAGTTCTGGAAACTGATAGCAGACATTGTTCTGATTATCAGTTGCTATATCAAGTACTATATCTACTCAAAAGTTCCATTGATTAAGTAATTATCGATCGTAGAAATAGTATAAATATAAGTTGTAAATGCATTTAATAAACAGCATCTTCAAACATAATCTCAATCTATTAGTTACACTCTAGGTTATTTGTTAACTCCTATTATCAGATACATTTATAAAGACGACAAATTTGTCAGGGTTGAAGGGTATTCTGACAGTGATTTAGATCTGCAGGATATCATTGACAGACTAAACACAAACAAGAATAAGAAGCGCAGGTTTAAACCTAGAGCGCCAGCTACCAGGAACATTAAACAGCGATTAACCTGGATAGCGCACAACATTACACAAACTATATTGGATAAAATCAATGTTCAAATCTAATATTAATAAAGCACCTTTTTATCCATTCAACTAAAAGGCTATAACATCTTCCTGCACACTCTCTATATCTACTTCCATTTATATCTCGATCAGATCTCAGATTGCATATACTATCTCTACGTATTAGCATCTGACAATTGGTAGCAACTTCTGTTATTTTTTAAATCCTTTTTTTCTATTTGTCGCCTATAACAGATAGTAAACAAAAGTCGATCATCAAGGCACGCCGGCTAAGTATTCATTAAAGGGAAAGATCGAAACATCTATATTAGATCTTTGCATTTACTGAATCATAATAGTCAACCCTCTTTACTATAGTTGTTCATAGTTCCTCTCTGTGAACACTACCTACCCCATCTCGTTCGCTGTTGATTCCTATTCCACGAACTCGGAGATCCCAAATAATAATCCAACTATCAAAACAAACACACAAATCTCGAGTCAACACTCTCTCTGGTCTCTCTCACCACATTTTATTAAAACAACATGGCTGAAGACAATCAACAACAACAAATACCACCCAACTATGTTCAATTCATGGAACAAAACCAACACATGCTCACCAACATGATGACTGCCTTCATTCAGGCACAAAATCAAGCACCTGCTGTCAAGTTGCCAACACCACCTACATACAGTGGCACTCGCAATGCAAGTGAAATTGATGCCTGGATTCGTTTGATTGACAAACAAAAGCTGCACAACAGCTGGAATGAAGAACGCACCTACAATTTTGCCTCTTCTTTGCTATCTGGACGTGCTGCCACTATTGTTGCCCATTATGAAGATCCCGACAGTAATCTTACCACACCTACAACGTGGATGGAGCTGAAGGACATTTTGATTAGCAATTTCCGTCCCACCAACGATCAAGATTTGGCCCGTGATGTTTTGGTCACCATTCGCCAAACCAGTTCAATTCGGGATTATGTGGATCGTTTTATGGATGCTGTCATTCCCATCAAGGATATTAGTGAACGTGAGCAATGTGATCGTTTCATGAGAGGTTTAAAGGACAAGGAATTGATTGCCAAAATTCGCGCCATGCCTATTGAATCACGTACGTTGGAGAAGCTGTTCTCTGATGCTCTGGCTCATGAATTCGCCCACCATCCGGAGATCAGTGCTGGTGTTCAGACAAACACTAGATACAATAACAACAACGGTGATGTACAGCCTATGGACCTAGATGCCATCATGCATCGTAACAACGACAACAACAGTAACAGCTACAGCAACAACAACAACAGAAACAGAAATAACAACAGGAGAAACAGCAATAATCGCGGCCGTAATAGGTATGATCCCAGCCTCACATGTTTTCACTGCAAGAAAGTTGGACATACCACCAAGAATTGCCTCTCCCGTGCCACTGAAATTATGCATGCATTTGACAAGTTGGATCTGGACACTAGACGCAAGCTTTTCAAGAATGTTGGTGTTTTGAACTGTATTTTGGATGTTGAATACAGAGAAGAGGATAACCATGGTTGTGATTGCAACCAATGTCAAAGTAGTAATAAAGCTAGTGGTTCCTCTTACCTGTTGTCCCTGTGTGATAAAATTGCGGTTGAGAAAAGAAACGCACAGATGGATGAATTGAATCAAGTCATTGCCATGATGGATTCCTCTGTTGCGTCTTCTCCTGCTTTGGTTTCTGTGCCTGTTACTACC